ACAACATTCCCGGCAGAACCTCGCTACCGCTGAAGGGAATGATGGAGCTGCTTAAGTGCTGTCTGCATAAATCTTACTTTTAAGTCAAAGTTTTATGCACAAGATGATGGCCTACCGATGGGCTCCCCCTCTCCCCGTTGGTAGTGATTGTATACATGGAATGGTTTGAAACTCACGCTATAGATGTGGCAATTGTTAAGTCTATAGGGTCTGGCTTCGATATCGTGTGGAATAGAACCAATAGAGAGCTAGATTCCTTTCTCAACTATCTTAATTCTTTGCGACCGTCCATTAAATTTACTGTTGAGAAAGAGAAGAACGACTGTCTATCGTTTCTAGATGTAAGTAGAAATAACGCCTCTATCACCACTTCAGTATCTAGCAAACCTTCACGTACCGGACAGTATTTAAATTTTGAGTCTAACCAGAACTAACCAACCAAACTAGGTAGCATCCAAACACTTTGCAAAAGATCAATCACAATATGCAGTGACGAAGCAACTCTCGATGTAGAATTAAGCAGTATTAAAGACGATATTAAGGAGTATACTTACAAGAACAAAGCCAGAAACAACGACTCCAGAGTGTATCTACCAAATACCCTGTGAATGTGGAAAGTCATATATTGGATAAAGAAAAATACATTTAAGCGTTAGAGTTGAAGAATATAGGAACCATACAATGAGGGGTCAGGAATCGCGAAACTTGTATGAACCAAACAACACCACATCAAATGGTCCAAAGCCGGGTTGTCTACAGGGAATCGCATCGGAATAAGCGCAAGTTTAAGAAAGCTGTATTCATTAAAACAATGAAAAAATCTTTAGCGTGGAAATATCTGCAATCTGGCAACCCTTAATAGAACGCACCAATGTTGGCGTACTAGCGGAACAGCCTCACACTTGACTCTGGAGTCGGGTACTCCGTTATGGTTGAACACTATCGTCTAGTATATAAGCCTCGTAGCCTTGGAATTAACCAAGTCTCCACTTGATAACGGGTAGTGATACATCTGTTCGAAACGTTGTGTAAACAAAAAATAAAGACAATGGAAGTTCGACAATATCCTTAGTATTTGTTATTAATTTCCCTGGTTTAACTTTGCTCAGAGATAATATTCAGTTTAGTTTTGTGATTCTATGTGTTGTTTTTTTTATAATATTATGTTAAAGGTAAAAAAAAGCAAAACTAAAGAAGAGATAAAAGTTTTTCTTTATAGTGTTATCATATGTTTGTATTATATGTACTGCATTGTATAAGCGCTCTTTGTATTCCACTAAGCGATTAATATATATATATTTTGTGAATGGCAAGGTCTACCCCTGTAAACAGAATAATTGGAACTAACAAAGAATATCTATCTATCTTACGTCATTTGCATTGATGTTGACTGCGATTATTTTTTATTAGTAGTTTTGTAAATCCGTTAAATTACGCAAGTTTTTATAAAATCTTTGTCTTAAAAATGAATAAACCTTTAGGCGATGACGATCAACAGTTTTGTTTTAAGTTGGTAATGAAAAGGAGGATCATTAGTTCAATTAAATGCCGAGAGAGACGCGAGTGTTGATGAAACTTTTGAGACTAAAATAGAAGCAGATTTATTTCTACCGTGTGTATATCATAGAAATAGTACAAAATCCACAAGTTTCATTATTATATCAAAATTTGACTGGAAGCAACACGCTGTACTGGACTGCAGTTAATAGTACATTATACAACAAGTGCGGTAAACGGCATTTGACTCATGAGTTTATTTGACACGAGCGGGGCGAGTTTTTAATAAACGAGTGACTTAAAAAGTTTAACGAACGTGTTGCATACTATACTTTTTCTACGACCGTTAGTTTTTGAGTACATTTCAGTATTGACAAACGTCACAAATCAACTCGCGGGAAATATCTCCGAAAACATCCGAATGCTCCCAAACCCGTGCGGTAAAATTTCGGAAATGTCCGAAGTGGCTCAGATACGTGGGAAACGAAACTGGAGTGGTAAAGTGACGCTTCCCGCACGCTAGATCGGAGTGTAATTAGGCATTTTACAGACGGGAGTAGAAAAATGTTTTTTGTCCAACTTTTCCTGTTTTCACAACCTTTTTAAATCCGTTGTAGGTATGTGCTATATTTATTTTCTTTTTCTATTCCATTTGTTGGATTACCATCAATTGATTTATTTTTGTATATTTGAAAAAGCAACAAAATTCACCGATTGTTTCATGTTAAAAATCAAAAACTCCTATTAACCAATTTTCATGTTGCTGTTTACAGTTACAAACGTAATGGGATTCAGCACCATGCATCCTTTTAAGACAGGTAGACCTATTCCTACCTGCTTACCCATGACGGGAAAGTCAGATAAAAACGGTAGGCCAAGTTTTAACTTATATCTACTTATATTTTTTAGTGGCGGGATAGATTTTTATCTTATTCGGGGTGGCCGTGTCTTTTCTGTAGTACCCTAGATACTCACACGTCCTTAAATTTCTTATGGGATTACTACCCGGTTCAATACACGAAAAATCACCATTATCTCATTAGATTATATTTGAGTAGAAACATAGGGCAAGGTCAAACATTTTTTCGCATCCTTTAAATTATTTCCACTTGGCTTTCTGCCACTTACCAAAGCTGATTTCTATCATCGTTAAGAACTCATTTAAAAAAGTTTGGTCCTTCCTGACGGCTTGTATCGTTGAAACCATTTCGTGTGGTTGAAATTTTTGTCGCATTTCTCTAAACGTACATTTCTGTGAATTTAGTTTAATTTAGTGGTTCGTTCGCTTTAATTGGAACGACAGAGTAACTAAAGAATGCGCAGAATTGTAATAAGCGTCACAGGGCGATGTTCCTCGTTAGTTAATTACAAAAATTGAGTGCTTTAATGAATATAGTTTGTCTTGTTGCAACCAATGGACTCTTCAGTTATTTATGAAAACTTCGAAGAGAGATTTGATACGTCAATTGTAAATGATAGTAATTTATGACTTTTTAATTTTTTTACAAGGTAAATTTGGAAATTTTACATTTTTGGACATCCTTTCCAATTCGGTTGTGCGTTAAAATTAGAAAACTAATCAATCTGGTTAGGAATTTTTACGTCTCCAGTCTCGTAGTAAATTTTCTCCTGAAACTTGTTTTTTTAAGTGATTACCCTGTATGTCATTTCATTAGGCTTGTTATTAGCTTTTAAAAAATATATAACATATATACCAGTTAGTTAACTGTCAAAATAAACTGGTATTGAATGCGCATTAACAATACATCCTTATTTTACCAAATTTCTGATAACTATGACGAAATGCCATGATTGTTTGACAACTAAAGTATATTAGGAAAACAAACATAAAATGAAATTGAATTTTGAATTTATGCAAATTGCAAATACCTAAGACTAATAAAATTATGAAAAAAACACACAAGTTTCAGTTTCCTTGTTTCCGATAAGTTTACAAACGAATTACAAGGGGCGTCTAAAATGCAACATTTTCAAAATAACCCTGTATATGAGAAATCCGAGACAGCTATGACATTTCTGTTGGTGCCATCTATTATTTCATGAAAAAATAGCCGCAACATCCTAGTTTTTTAATAACGAAGACACTTAAAACCATCAAAAATGGGAAAGGTTGTATGAACATGTAATAATGTGCTCAATAACCACTCATAAAGGGAATCTATACTGAGAGAACGCCGATATTGAAATTCGACAATAACAGCTAACAGATTGCTCCATCAATTTGGCACAATATAGTAGCATTTAGCTTAATTACCTATATGTTACATAATAGCGGCAAAGGGATGTAGATAATAGATTACATAGTCCCATTCAGGTGTAATGTCTTAGCCGAGATCGAGATTATGACTTGGGAGTGCGTTCCTAATTGACATGAGCTATCGGTTCGATAGTAAATCAACTTGGACGCGAATGCAACTGTTCCCATACACTTTATTTGCCCGACTTTATTTAACTTTACAAAGCAGAGCGTAAAATAGAATTATAACTGTAAGATGAGGGCAATAAACGTAGTTGCCAGGCGGTGGGCTATTATCTAACAAATTGGATGTTTCCGAGATATATTTTTAAGGAAATGGTTTTATTTCTCGAATTTGATCGTTTGAAACGCCACGAAAAACCGCACACAAAACCAGTAATTTTGAAAAATTATTTCAAAAATGTTCAAAAAATGTGAAATATACAAAAATAAATAAGTTTGCTTACTGGGAAGTGTTAAGATTTTGCGCCGTTAAAGGTGTTTGTTCTTTATTATCACCTGCTATTTTAACAAAGCAAAAGTAGTTAATAACTAAGTCAAAGCATTAAATAACTTAGTTATTTAATGCTTTAACCTTTTTGAAAGATATAATATGAAAATTTCGAAAAATTAAATGGGATCAGGACGGATTTAGAGAAAATATTGCCCAATTGACGAACTGTCAGAGAATGTTGAAGGCCAGAAGGACTTATTAGTTTAAAGCGAGTTTTGAAATGACTTGCAAATGCGCATAATCTCTTACCAGCAATTTTCATGTAAGCTTCGAAAGTGATTGATATCAATATAGACTTGGCCACTATACATTTAGTGGCTATATGGCAGTAAATCGATAAATCAAATTGCTTTTTTTTTGTAATTAACAACTGCAAAAAAAAATAGAATATAGACAATTTGAGACATACCTTCAATTTTTTTTGGGCCAATATTAATATATAGTTATTTGGTTATCAAGTGAAACATATGCTTCTGTTTCAAGTTTTTAGCTCCCAATTAAAATTAGTGAAAAAAACTTGATGATGAAATAGTTAATAGTAAACATAAAAGAATTTCTAACACTATAGCAAGCACGTAAAGTTATGGCATAGCATATAGAACAAAAAGAAGTTTTAATACTAAAGAGAGGTTTTCAATGTCGCCAATCTTTATCTAATTTTTTTAGAATAGAAACTATTCTAAAAATATTAAAACCATAGCAAAAATAATATTTAATATTAAAAAAACTTACAGGTAAAGCATCGCAAGTTTCTATGGATATCGAATCATCTGTACAAAGCATCGGATCCGATGGTTGTAGGGCGGGTGGTCTTGGTGGTGGCGGTAGTAAGAATTCTGGAGGGGGTCCGGGACAGTCACAATCAGCGGCGGCATCTAGAACGTCCCACATGTTAGAGTCTTCCTTCTCCGACGGATCGTCCTCAAAATCGGTTGAAGACTTTTCCATAGACTTCGTCACACCACTGCAGGAAAAAGTTCAATTTGCTTATAGAACAGTTTATACATTCGTAATAAAATTTTACGTATTTCAAGTATTTGGAAATTAATTATTTAGTTTTTGGAAGTCCCTTCGCTTATAGCATGTGCATAATTCGTTTTTCATTGTTAAGGCACACTTTTCAAATTTGGCAAGACCACTGGATTCAAAATCGCCGCAAACAAAACTAATCAAAATTTCAAATTTAAAAGTATTTGGCTTACCATAACATATTTCAGTGCTGAATTTAACATAAAAAATCTATATTTTTCTCTCCGAAAAAGTTTCTCCCAAGTCTGCAGCAAAAATGAAAACAATTTTTTATAATTCGTAGGTATTCCATACACCATAACTACAGCCAAATCTTGTAGAATTGGAAAAAAACTTACACATCCTTTAGTAATTATAGAATAGAAAAACATGAGTTAGAAATCTATCAAAACGATAAAACTTGCATTGTTTTAAACATCATCCATTATAATGTAATTCATTTGAAAGAAGTTTTCTTCCTGATTTAAAAAATACATACCTTTATATCTATATATGTTAATTTTGTTTTTAGCAGTTTTATAATTATATTAATAACAATTAACATTAACTAGTTGTTGTAAATTGACCAGTTGCTGTCAAAGTATGGAAGTTCACATATTGTCTACTAAAAATCAGCTGGTATTCGGAAGTGGGGCAGACGAAAAGTGCAATATAAAGATCAGGTGGAAGAGGATCTAAGAATACTAGGAGTTCGAAATTGCAGAGCCAGGCGGCAGAGAAACAACGATGGAGACATATTCTTCAGCAGGCGGAGACCCAACCAGGGTTGTAAAGCTAGAGACGATGATGAAGAAATGCTTCCTTTGATGACAATGGATTTTCAGTATCTGAAAAGTCCAAATATCGCAACAAGTTGAACATGATTCAACTTGTCGGAAGTCTTGGAAAAATCACATGAAGGCCATTATTGTCACTATTTTTACATGCTTCAAAAGAACGATTTTATAATTCTTCTTCCTTCTTGCATCGTAATACTAATAAGCGACGCAATAAAATTATTAAGATTTTTAGCGTTTCCCGCGTTATTGCTTTACCAATCAATTTACATACCAACGGTTGCTCTTAATGAACCGGTTAATATTAATTTTTAAAAAACGCATTTCTAGAATGATAGTAATTTTTTGATCTCAGTAAAATATACGCTTTGGAATTTATATCCATTATACAACTTTAAATTTCCGCTATAAATTATATCGTTTGACCCTACTCGGCGTCTCATTTCTTAAATTTTTGATATTAGTTTGAACTAACGTAAAGATTAGTTCGTAATTGTGTTCCACGTCGAACCAGGTTACGAACGCTTTAGATAGATCTTCATTCTTTTATCATTACATATCTCGAGCTACAGCCGGAGAACGCAAAGCAGATTGCAACGAATGCAGAACGCAGAACGATGGGAATCGATAATGCCTTCGCGAATTTAAAGCCAAAACCGTTCTGTTGCATTTCGAAACTGGCTAACATAGAGATATGACGTGTGACAACGACGTCCCAAATAAGGGTTCGTGTCAAATAAACGGTGTGGTATTTAATAAACGAATGGCTGGAATATCCGATTACGACATATATATAAACATGAAACCTTAACATCTCTCTTAAACTGTCAGCGAAACTGGTAGTAACAACATCTACTCCTTTATTGTCACTTACTTTTTCTAATCAGAGAAATCATTGCAGGCATCAGCACTAATATAAAATAACACAAAAAGAAATTTAGTTATACCCTCAAGGTAAAGCTTATACCATGAGAGCATGAAATAAAAAAAGCTCATTAAGCTCGCGGTAACGAATTGAAAATGAAAAATAATTAGAAATACATTGCACCATGCTTACCATAACCTGTACTACCAAAAAAATAGTCGCACTTGTTGAATTGATATTCATGATTTGCCCTTAAAATTTTTTGTTCACTTAAAGTCATTGTGGCATGTATTTGCGATATCAAAATTTAATAGCAATCCACATTTTGTACGCTCCTATTCCCAATAAAAAAAATCGAAATAAGTTATCTTTTTGTCACCAATCCAAGAGCACGACTGTGTTATGTTATCGACCTGATAACTAATCAAACAATGTGTCATGTTAATTTGGTTGAATAGGTTGCAAAACATATTAGTTCGTCAATATGGAGACAATTACTTTAGCGCTGATCCCAAAAAAATATAACAGATTTATTGCAACTGTACATGCATTATTTGCACTATTGTAACACATAGTCCTCCATTTTGTCGATTGGTTTCCTGCATGAAGTGCTGTAAACGAAAACATTTTTGTCAGATTCCGTTTAACAAAAACATTGGACAACTAACCCGACGACGCAGATATGGTGGTGGAGTAGAATGCTCCACATACCCTATACTGCAACATATTCTTACATATTTTGGACACATAAGAAGAAGAAAAAAAAAGCAGGTTATTTGCTTTTGCTTCAGCAATGGATCAAGAATGCGCTTACTGGAATCATTAGAGGAATCGGGTGGTCTTCAGTGTCGGGTGACGTTTGAGTTTGTGGGTTCATGGTGGCCGTGTAAGGATGCGCTTACTGCTATAATATCTGGAAACCGGTGACCTCTAGTTTTTGGGCATTAACAGTTAATCCTACATTTACAACGTATTACAGTCTGTGTCGTTGTTCTAAGTTCAACAACTTCCATTTTTTCAGCTAGACAATGCCAGACCATATCTGCTATAGTTAATAGAAACTTTTCAGTGACCCTTAAAATTACTATATTTGTTGCCTTTTGGACATACATGGAATATTAGTTAATTGCTACATCTTCAAAAGTCTATGTGATGAGGCAAGATTATTGTGGGAGAACCTATCATAAGCAAATATTGATTATTTCATTCGCAGTAAACTACGAAGAGTTGCGGAATGTTAAAAATCACGTAGAGGGGCAACTCACTAATGAATTTTTACGAATTGCTTTCAAACTTATTCAAATATGCCATCGATTGTTATTCACATCTATCCCAACTACTTTGGAAAGTATAAATAAAATATATCCACATTTAATGCGTGTTGCATTTTCTATGTTCCTCAGTAGATGCGTTGCTCGGTTTGTTTTTAAAAATAGTATTTTTTCGTTTTGTGCCTCGTAAAAGTTATGCAGACTCAGCCTGATTTTTACATAAATCAAAAATATACAAGATTCGTTATCAAAACTAAACTACAAATCCTTTAAAAAGGTCTTTCGACGCAAAAAACCTGCTCAAGTGCGTGTATTATATATTCCATATAGAATTAGCATAGCATTTTTCAATTCTAATAGTAACTATATCTCGCAATCCATTAGAACCCAACGACATAATATTATTCAAATATAGCTTCTGGTTTGAAGGGGCATCCTTAAAATTCAGTTTAAAACAACATTGACGCACTCGCAAAAGTAACTGCATTTCAAACTGATTTATCCCAAAAATTGTTAGTTTTATGTGCAAATTTTAGTTGGAGTCTAGTTAATAAAGATAATAATTATTCGGTTCTGGCATTTCTTTCTACTTGGAGCAAACATAATCGATTTATAGGGAACTATTATAATTGTAATGGAAATTGTTGAATATTATAATGCACACCTCGCTGCAAGCGTTAAAATATCCACGACTCCGAGAACAGCTTTCTCTTTGAACTCCGAAACTTGAGACCTTCATCTGCACATATCTTTATTTACAACAGTGCTTCACTCTTCTTATTTTTATTGTAGGCCATAACTTGGTATATGTTCTTAATAATAGTTATTCTGTTCAGATATTCTGTACAAATAATAGACATTGGAAGGAAGGTGATTTTCTGAGTAAGATAGTTCAATAACTTTATTGAACTTAAATACACACTGTATCAAAACTAAAGATTTTCGGTTTCGACCATTGGAAGACTGATATTAGCGAGTGGAAATACTTTGTCACCAAACGAACATAATATTGATGTGATGTCACTCCGTATCTATAAGTTGACAAGTCTATATAAAAGCGAACAGCAGTTGACTTTGCCTAATGGAATGTTTATTTACTCGAGTTCGCTATAATTATCGTATCGAATGGCAACTAAAACAATGCGACGAGTTGAGCGATGTTTACGTCACAAGGTTTTCCGGTGGAAAGACGATTCGCACTATCATCCGTTATCACCGATGCATGAATCTTATCGCAAGTTGACGGCTACGCTAAATTAGGAGTTATTCTATAACGCGTTTCGCATTATTCATTGCTTTGTAAATAGCGGGACTTTGAACTTCCGGAAGCTCGCGATTATGCGTTGCAACACCTGTCGTTTCCGTTACGAAATCCGCAAAAAACACAGAGGTTTATCACCAAATGCATTTTATATCGGGGACTTAATTTTGTGTTATAATGTATGTTAATTTTTACCCTGACATTTTGGCCACTCACTAGTTCGGCAACACAAACAACTGAGTTTTGTCTCAATTAAGTAAGTAAAAAAGTGGAATAAAAATTCCAAGTTTTTTGAGTTTCGAATGTTATGTCTAGGTCATTAAATTAGACAAGAATCAGGTCCCAGGATATCCCTTGAGATGCAAGGATGAAGACTCGGATGGAGATATAATTTAATAAAGGGCTGGAATAAGCGCTTGCACTGAATTTAAATAATAAATAATTGTCAGGTAATTTAATCGAATATATTGACTGGTGAGCTGATGTTCAGCCCAAAAGTGAAGTTTCTAGTTGAGAATTTAAGTTGAAGCCGTTTAATGTAAATGCCATTTGTTTAATGTAATTTTTTAGTTCGCTGTAGTGAGTAACACAATATTTTCTACCTCTTTTTCTCTTTATAGTCGAGTTTACAATTATACATTTTTACATTTATTTGAACCATTGATATTGCTCTTATGGCGATGTTGACAACTTCCCTCTGTGGTTTTATCATATTCTGTTGTCTGTGCCTTTTTGCTGTCCTTTGCCTATGTGGTGTATGCGCCGTTGAGTTCAAACTATTAAAATGAGTTGTTCTAATAAGGCTTAAAGGACGATGTTAATGCAGGCTGCAAATTCAACTTGCATTTTGCTACATCACTCTGCAACAAGTGTACCTTCAAAAAGGGTCGATTTGATCGAAAGTCCCGTCCTGTTCTATATTTTGTATCAAATAAGATTTTTGCGTTGGTTGACGTCATATCTCTCTGAATCAAAGTAAACAATCTGATAGAGTTGTTGACCTCTCATGTTCTTCGAAGTAGGATATAGTTCGCAAGGAGAAAAATTTGGACTTACTGCTTAATTTTACATTGCAAATCGTCATGCAAATGACAATATGGATCTTTTTTCCTATACTTTTAATTGAAAAATCGCATTTGTATCGATTTTTGGTGACGGCCTATATTGGCATGTTGTGCAATTTCTTTTAAAGAAATTTCATTCTTAATTTCGAGGGACGAACTGAGAAAAAATCAAGAACATAACAGAGGAACTAGGAGTCCTACTTAAAATGCCGTCGGTCGTCAGAAAATGAATTACCAGTTTCGAATACATTTTTTCTAATTTTATTTTATCCAGATTTGTGAACAGAAGATCACAATGATTATAATCTCAACTAAAGAGGCTGTGATGGCGAAAACAGCAATCAAATTTGGACTTCAGATTGCCAACAACACACTCGTCCAAAATTAAAATTCTTTGAATTCAGTTTGTGCTTATGGTACACTGTCAGAACAAACTCGCCTGTCAATCACTCCTTTTTAGATGAACAAGCGCAGTGCGGATTTATCTATGCAAATAAGTATATTTCAACATGGTTTAAGCTGTTTGGGTCTGAAGAGTGAACCGTAACCTATTTTTCTGAAGGTGCCATTAGCTTTTCCTAATATCAGTTTGTCCTGTCTTAATAGAAGCATGGTTCAAACGCATTTGATATCGTCGTCTTTATTGTGGTGATAAATAACAGATTCAGACGGAAAAAACTGAATCGAATCAAGTAACCTCCTGAAAGTTATTCACAATTTCTGGTAAAGAATATCTTTAGCACTTGCCCATTTAAATAGAAGCAGGAGTCTACAGAAATTGAAAATTTGGTAAACATTGAACTCACATCCCCATGACAACCGTAAACGAAACGAATAAGCACCTTGTTGCACTTCATTCAGATCACTTATCCGTTCACACTAAACACGAGACAAATATTATCGTCACACATGCCGAAGAGTTCGCTACAGACAAATCAACGTAAATTTCACTCGGAAACTCGATTCAGAATCGTATTTAAAGTTCGCGCGATGTCGGTGAATGCCTGAGTGCTCCAAACCGACTGCTACCCTCGCGACGGCTAAATCTAGACTCGATTTCAGACTGGAGTCAGACAGCTGCATGCCTGAAACTTTGACCCCACTACCGCGTCGCGGCCAATGGAATCTCGTGTAGGGATAGGAGGGATAATAATGTCATTATTTTCCATTTTACAGTTGGCCATAATGTTTACGGCAGGTAAGCAGGTAAGGTTGACCAGGTACTCCAGTGTGTTGCGGTCGGATTAAACTATTTTGTCTACTATTCTTTGACGGTGGGTTCCGTCCGTAAGGTTTTCGGCTTTTATTTACGACCGACGATGCGGAACCAATAAATAAATCATGCGATCGCGTATGCTTAAAAGTGAAGGTAGGGGACGATACTAGTTCCAGAGGTGAATATCAATAAAAAGCAAGTCGCCTAATAGTTTTTACTAAAGTTTTAAACGAAATCAGTTATGTTTTGGGATACTAAAAGCTTGAAATTATTAAAAAATTTAAAAACATATTGTCATTGACAGCCTTTGATACTAACAGTGAATAAGCTCAAAAAAAACTTATCCATATTCATTGATCACATATCAAAATCACGAATATTTCTGTCTATTTAAGGTATAATAGAATTTTAGTTCATTGAAGAAGCTTTTAACCGCTTTACAGCAACTGACAACTCTTGGTAGGCAGTTCAGTGAATGAATGTTATATTTATTGCATCTTGGTAAGCGTGTCGGACTCTTTCCAATGAATAAATCAGGAAATATTTAACTCTCAAGTCTGGATTATACAAAATAAAGAAACAATCAGTTCGCTCCGAGAGAAGCTTGAACACACCGACGAAACAATTCGTTAATCAGTTGGCAAAATCAAATCTTGAACATTGAATGTAGCATGGTACATTTGAATTGAAACTATTTTTGATTATGTGGTAAGATTTCTCTCCAATCGACGATATGCTAGATATATGAATATTAAAATGCATGGTGCCCATTACGATACGGGTATATTTACTATTCTTTATTTTTAGTCAGTAGTAAATAATACAACCATATAAATAAGAATGTCAGTTTTGGTAATTCATATTTTGTTTTTTTGCTGAGATGATATTTTATTGGCGGCGACACCGAAACTTTTGGTTAGTTTTTTGTTACCTAAATCAATATTTCAAGGAAAAAACTATCCAAAATCAAAATCTTAGCAAAAATACTTTTCTGATTTGACACGCGGACTGATTTCTGTGCATATAAATTTAGTTTAAAAAACAAGATAAACAGGTACTCAATGAAAACAAAGTAAAATATTTTAAGAAAAAAACAGTAAACAAATAATATGGTCTCCATCTTTAATCCCATTTATTACTCGCTTGCTTAAGTGTAGTATTTTAAAAATAAAAGCAGCAAACCTGTGGTCGTTTCTCTGTGCCTTTTAACCGTTTTGCCTTTGCGGAAAACCCATGACATAGATTCATTTTACTTGACAATGACTCGGTTTATATCTGGCGTTTAATCCGGATTAAAAGAGATTAGATTTGTATAGGATAATCTTCACATAATGCGCATGCGCCGAACAACTAATGTGGGAGTAATTGTTAATAATAATTTTTGTTAAATTCTCCCATGACATTAAGTAATTATTGTCTGAATTATAATTTAAAAACTTATCATATGTCAATAATTTCAACCAGAGGCTCTAAATGGATTCAACATAATTGCACAACTACAATTAAATGGTGCCATCCTTAAATCCTCAGTTCCCACATTCTTATAGAATTAACTAAATATGGCTAATCTCGATTAAGATTTAAAACGCCGATGTTGACTACGTTTACGGTGCGTTGTCAAGCAAGTGAATTTAAGCTTCTCTGAAAGTTCATGATTACCATCAACAGTGTCGAATTATCAAATGTATTTGGAAGTCCTCCATCATTTTTCAACATTCGTAATTCGTAATTTTTCATATGGTGCATAGGATAGGATCATTACCGACTCGCCGTATCGTAGGTGAAAATGTGTAAAATTTGCAGAACATTCTTACGATATCTGAAGCGACCAAGATCCTCGGGGAAATAAAATGTCGCGCACCGGAAATATCGTTCCTTGTTAGGATTTTGTAACAATCGTTTATCTTGTACTACAACATAACCGCCTCGGTCGTAGTAGCAGGTAAAATAACTCGGACACATACGCCTGTTAATAGAAGTTGTGTAAAAGCTCCGAATTGGAAAGACCATTCCTTTGTTGGGACACGAATAAAAGGACCTTCAAAAAATTGAGTCGGTTTTAATAACACGTCACGCAGTTGAACATTGTGCCTCATGTAAGAAGTTGTACGGGTTCCATTTCAAAGCATCGGACACATGTTTGAATAATGTCTCCTATGTGGTTAACGTGAATGCAAAACAATGTTGTACGTCGTAGACGGGTGTAATGTAAATTGTTTCACTCTGAATGCCTACGTTCTCCGAAAAAAATCTAGAGAAAATCGTTCAATAACAATCGTAGCTATTTCGGAGCTAATAGCATATTATATATTTATTTAAAGAAGTCCACCTAACAGGCATGAAGCCCAACAGGTAGGTTGTAGTACAAAGTATTAAATACTGTCAGAGTCATTGCAAGTAATGATGATATGACAAAACTTAACCTAAAGTCTAGCCTAACATAAACATTAACTCTAATAAAAAAAAAAAACAAGAGAATGCAAAAAGACTGAAATTAATAATTATAGTTCATGGGGCAATAACGTTTTTACCTTAGTAATAGATTGCCAAAAAAAAAGTTTAAATCGTTGAGCATTGCATTTGGAGCACATTGAGAGAATAGCCAAAAATTTTAAAATATTAGTTCTTGGAGTGGGGAGAAGGAATGGGAACACCACAAATAGTCGAATGTTGAAATTGTCGAAAATCACGAACGGCGTTCGGTCGCGTTTCGGAAAGTCTCGTTTCGCGAGGGATCTGGATGTAGCAGAAGGTCGAATGTCAAATAGAAAAGGTCAAATAGCTAGATAGGCATAATCCGAATACGAATCAGCAAAAGGTTGCTTGTTTTAAAGATGCAGGAGGTACATCGGGTGCTAAATCCGCACAGGACACATGAATTCCTATGCATACGATTCAATTATTGTTTCCAAAAAAACTATAGGTTAACTTTATCGATGGGCACTGCAACCCGCATTCAAAAGATTATTTTTTATTAACCCGTGAATATCTTTTTGAATATTTTATCGTTATTTATTACAGCCACCGTCTAAGGTAAAAATTGAAGTCTATTAAATCAAATTTATCGAAATTTTATGAATGACAACGTCGACAACTTCATCTTTTATACAAGCACCTTACTATTTTTGACTTTTTTCCATCTGTTTCAAGTTTGATTTATAAACAACCGACGAAAGAAGAATCCAGAAGATATAGAAGAAATAACACTCTGTATAGAATAGATTACACGCAAAATATCAAGTTTTTTAACATTTAACATTTTAACATTTAATATTTCTTAAGTTTCGTCATAAAACTGACAAGTTATACATAAGTGAAAATTCATTTTTTAGCAAATTCCCAATGATGGGAATAAAATTGTTTATAAGCCATATAAGATTATAGCCATTTATTGGCCCCTAACCTTAGCCTATTTTACAAATAAGATGATACATTGCTCACAGCCACATGAGAATCACATAAAAATATACTTATTCTGATACAAAAATACCTTAAAATCTACAGCATCGTGGGATCTGACTTCTGGACTCACGACCCAATAGCAGCCTGGAAATGTCCCGCCTAAGTTTTCCAGTTCTACAGGTACATTCGATTGTCTCCAGCTCTGCATACAAGTACATACTGAGTTGAAGAAATTAAGTCACCTTCAGCATTTCTAAAATTACATTAACATAATTAAAATTTATTTATACTTATATAATTTCAGTCGTACAGTGTAATGTATAATAATGTAATAATTTCTTTACCCTGTCGCAAGTCTATTACATATATTCTTTCGGTCTCCTTTCTCTCCTAGACATGCTTGAAACTCCTATCTTGTGTTTGGTCCTTCACGTGGTCATAATTGAGTTGTCCCCTCCTTAAGATGAATACTTTCAATATCTTCAACCTTTCCTGATGCTTGATATTTTTTTTTCTGTGCATCTTTTTGGAATAACTTGAATATACATATATTTATTAACCTACAAATCTATAAAGGGTTGAATAATGTTATAAAATACGACGTTCTTGCGCTAAAAATGCAAAATGCCTGTTTGTGAGCTACTATAAAATATTAAATCAATTTTATCTCGTTCCGTTACACCGTCTGCGTGTATAATACTCTTTGTTAAGGAGTTCTGTGCCTGTTCTGTATTTCAACCTACCTACCTTAAATTTGATTTGATCGTTGGTTCACCTAAACATTCCGTCATTCGATTACGTATAATTTTCTCTGCATGTCAGCTGTTGGAGGATCCGCTGATACAATTCCCCCCACTCCTCCCAACTCATCATGAACGCCGTTTTGGGATTTTCGATAATTTGAACATACGACAATTTGCTACCATCTCGAAGGAATATGTTACTATGTCTAGAGTTAATACGGGCATTCAGAGTGATCCCAGCAATTTGCTGCACAAACATCCGAATACTACTTGCCTTAAACTGGAATATAAGAATGGTCAACAAGTAAAATACACCACTTGCTGCTGCGGTTTTGAAATGAAGCATTAACCATTGCAAATTCAGAAAATGCGAGTATCAAACAAAAGAGGTGAGATTTTCACGTTGTATGATAGAGAACATTTAATTGCGACCAGAAATACTCCCCATTGATTATTATTGATAAGGATAGTGATTCTAATTTTCCTTTCTAGATAAAAGTAAAAAGTGACTGTGATTTTTTTATTGTAATTAAATTAAAATGAGCTTTTATCTTTTTTTATCTTTGTGAGTTGATAAATAAAAAAATACTATTTTTTCACCTTTGTTATTTTTATGCTTGTATCACTAAAAATAACATTTTAGTGCTGTACTGTCAGTTCCGGCGCGGTTGGTC